TACAGCGTATTCAAATTTGCAGTCTGAATCACAAAAGTACGGAAAATCACGCAATGTCTGAGAAAAACATGTCATATTTTTCATCAACATCGTAGTCTCGGCCCAGTGTTGTGTTGCGGAAAATATTGTTACGTGTTTGTGGATTTTTTGTCATGAATTCGACGAGAAATCATGAGGAATGTGCAATAATCCATCAAAACAACACTACATGAGTGGTTTACAGAATCAAGATTCAAGTTGTGATGCTACCACCGAAGGGCCACAAGGCAAACCAAACAAAGCTCGGTGATTTCAAGCTCTTACCACATGTCAGAAAATGTGAGAAAATGGCAGGCTCAGTCCTGGCAGATGAACAGACACGGGTCCGGCAACTTCTCGAAAGGCACAAATCGCAGTGTCTGAGGTTCTTGGCTGACAACACTTTTACACAGCAGCATTTTGAGTAATTTTGGTCTGCACGAAGCGAGAGCTACTGGCTTCTATCTTCAAAACAGGTAGAAGACCGATCTAGTGGCAAGAACAGTGTAAAGACTTTACTCCGAAAGAAGATCAATGTCTGAAGACAGTATCGTATTTCAAAGACTTTTTGTAAGTCTTTCTCACGCCTTCTTGCCAAATTCTTGACAAGAAATACACATACACATAACGATGTTCGTCGCAAAACAACACTTGAATGTGATTCTTTCCTCTAAGAAATCACGTGATTTTCCTTACTTTTGTGATTCAGTTACCAAATTTGGGTACGCTGTAACGCAAGTTTTAGTTGCGTCATCCCAGTATATGAAATTGATTTTCCATGTGTGGAATTTAATAAAGTTAACAAAAATCACAAAGTTATTTGCGACACTTTGCTTGTTTTAATTTTTTGTGGCAAAAGATCGATCCAGAACAGTTTTGTCCAGCGTACTATAGAAACGCAAAAAAGGCCTAGTAAAGAATTGAGCTTGAAGTTGGTCTCGATAACAACGTCGATTTTACAAAGAGGGCTGGCGACTTTAAGAGCTCCACTTCTAACATATGACATGTCGACAGTTTGTCCTCAAGCTAACGTGGTCGATGAGGACAGGAGAGCTCCCTGACAGATCTTGGAAGGCGCAAAAGAAGCAGTTTCAAGCATGACATGGTGCCATGGAGTTGTGAAGTCGTTTAACTGCAGAGGAAACATGGCTCTGTAAACTTTCTTCCGCGCAATCCACTTCCTGTGAAGAGAAAAGCAAACAAAGAAACCCTTTACATCACTAAAGAAGTTTAAGCCGAAAACTTGTTTTTTTGCCTGAAAAATAAGCCGGTGAACAAGCTTCCGATTGGGTTGTGAGGCGAAAAAAATCTCCAGCGGAACTTGCCGAGAGCGGTCTGGGGAGATGACTATCCTACCACGCTCCGCTTGCCTGTTTATACCCTGTTCATAGGCTATCTTACAATGTGGGAACGACCATCGCAGTTAAAAAAAGACATATAGGCTTGAATGGGATTCGAACCCATGACACTGCGATGCCGGTGCAGCGATCCTACAAACTGAGCTATGAAGCTAACTGAATATATGTTCGCTGATGTTAAGAATTAACGACTTGCCACGCTTGTTCAAAGACGGGACGGAGGGGTGACGCTATCAACTTAATGTATCATCACTATCCACTAGACAGTATAAGCACCTATCCACTGGATAGTGACTTATCCAGTGGTCAGCGTTATCCTCCGGTCCCTTCAAACAACTGGGCCCAGGCCCCCCGGCAAGGTCCCGTGACCTCTTACCAGTGTGTCCAGGTTGATCACAGCGGTCAGTCCGTCTAATTTCACTGATATCTGATCTCCTTTAGTAGTTCTTATTACAGCATCGTTGCCATACGTGCCTCTCAAAAGCTTCATCAACCTGTTGCGCCAAGTAAAACAGTCCGCTTTTATAGGTCTTACTTCAAAGACATTGACCTAATTCTAAATATCGCGGTACCGTGAAGTCTTTTGTGTAGTTTAATTGCTATACATAGAGCGCTTCACTCCGATTTCCGTAACATGAAGTGATGAGGAGAAATATTACTCCATCCGGATGAGATGCCAGTCCAAGATTAGTTTGTCCACAGACATTCTATTTGTCTTGAGTTTGTTGAGATCGCAAGCAAAAGTATTACCACAGGGGATTTGAAAAAAACAAAGGCCCGAACACTGGTCCTGGGTAACAGTGGAACGTTGGCTCCGCGCTCGCATCGCTTGCGCGCTCGAAGAAAAATAACTCTTAGCACAAAAATAAACGTCTGTGGATAGACTTGTCCAACACAGGTAACACCCCTGCATTGTATAAGAAAGCTTCTTCCAGATGTTCAGTTAGTCGGGGCGAAGGAAGAAAAAACGGCGGAGGGAAAAACTGGAGAGAGAGGCTTGGTGCGAAGTGCTCTCCCGCGCCGCGCCGCGCCGCGCCTCCCCCTTATTCTTTCGCGCGCCATTTTTCGCGCTGCTCCTCAGCGAACGGAAAACCTAGGAGGTTATGTATAAGGTTGTCCTAAAATCCGTCTGTATCCAGTTACATCGCAGATCGGAAAGACTCTTTATAACGGTCACGGGGGTATAAGGAGCATCAGTAATGAATCAGTTACCTTCAGCCATGGAAGATGCTGGCACCTTAAATAGTAGCTGCTTCGAGAAGAAAGCCAAACAGAAAGAAAAGTCTTACCTTTCTGGAAACTGGCTTATATCTGGCTTCTTAGCACGAGCAGCTGCGAAAAAAAAATTTAATTGAAAAGTCAGTCGGCTAGCTGAGGTTTATTAATGGCTGTGAACCAAAACTAAAAGTTCTAAAAGCCATGAACTAAGGCAACCGACTCAGTTGCACAAAGCCAAAGCAACACAAAATACATGTATTACAACATAAAAATGAATTTAAAGTTTTCTAATTGCACTATCACTGTCTTGTCACCTAGGACTAGGTTCCATATCACGACAACATAAAGACTAGATACAAGTTTTTTTGTGTAAATACGCTTAGCTGTAAGATTGAGCCGCCACAACATATGAAACCAGAATATGAGTCAATTTAGAGGGACAACTTCAACGACAATAGGCCACGTTCGATATAACAATATTCTAACATGGCTCCGAGGCTTTCAGGACAAACTTCTATATTAATTTTGGTGGTGTTTTCTTTATATCCAAAGTTCTTTTGGGAATTAAGGGACAAAAGAAAGTTAACAAATTTGCAATTTTGTCCTGAAAGCCTCGGAGCCATGTTAGAATATTGATAAATCGAACGTGGCCTAATAAGTCCTTCGAAATGGACATTTTCGGCGATACGGCGACCCTTTTGAATTCTATTGTTTCAAATAACTATTATGGGATGCCCAAGGGGCAAATTTGTCCGTATTTGCGCCCTCATCATCCCATAATAGCTATTGGAAACAACAGAATTCCAAATGGCCGCCGTATCGCCGAAAAGGTCCACTGTTCACTGATGAAAGTTGCATGCGATTTTTGGACGAAGCGAGAAGCCCATAAAACACTTGCATGCGATGAAGTTGTCGCGTCACCTATAACAGTTTACCTTGAGCAGTTGTAGGATTGGACTCCACTTGTAAAATCACAGCTAGAACAGCATCAGCATACATGTCATTCACAGGATTCGCCACCCACTGAAATGAACAACCAGAAAAAAAATCAATAACATGGAGTCCACACGTTTTGTTCTTTGGGAGGCCTATCAGAACTTATCCTGGTTTCTGCAGCATGAAGCGACTAGGAGTATTTCTACTCCCCCCTGGATGGGATGCTGGTCTATCGCAGGGTTGCCCCCAGCATTAAATTCGCCGGTACCCATTTATACCCCTGGGCGGAGAGAGGCACTGCGAGAGTAAACTGTCTTGCCCAAGAACGCAACACAATGACACTGGCCAGGGCTCGAACCCGGACCGCTCGATCCGGAGACGAGCACACTAACCATGAGGCTACTCCATCCCCTACGAAAGCGTTTTACGGATTTTTCTTAATTAAGAAACATTATTAACGTATTAAGGAAACGTTTCTCAGTTTCCTGCTCATTACAACAAATGCACGCGCCGAAATTTTTGAATTTTGCCATAGACATTCACGTGGCTTCGAGTTTACTAAAAGATGCCAACCAAGGAATCAAGAAGAAAGAGAGTCAATACCTCAACAACGACGCTTCTTTTCTCCTGAATAATAGTGATAGCTTTGAACACTTTAAGCGCAAGTTTTCCTCCTTGTAGCGTGAGTTGTTCAACGTCGCCAGCCAAGTTCTCCATACACTGGAGAAGCAGAGAGAAGGCGCCATGGAAAGCGACGGTCTGCTTCTAAACAAAAACAACATTCAAACAAGGGTCAGTACAGAACAGAACAAGGTATTTAGAAGCCCCTCTTTTTCCTCAAATAAGATTGAAAAGTATAGCCAATATTTTATATGTTTGTCGCCCCAATATTCCCTAATCTAAACCATCCTTGTGCATTTTTTGGGTTGCTGTTGCTTGTTTGACGATGTTCTGTCTTATCAAGCCCCGGAAGTAGAAGCAAACTCATACCCCGACCTCGGTAATGTCAAATGACTCGAAAAAACAGTACAGTCGACAAAACAAAATTTCAGCAAAGAATGAATGAACAGCTACTGAAAATTACGGCATCACGGAGTTAATCTCTTTTCACAATCATGAAATCCTCTGGAGGGAGGGGGGAAGGGGGGACATCCACCTCCCGGCCCAACGCGTAACGCGTCGTGTTTTACATCATACCTGTGTGAGAACACTTGTCGAGAGCTCTGTGTAATCTGTGAAAAGAACGTAACAAGAAAAAGCGAAATGGTAAGAATACGAAAAAACGTTCTCCAACGCCAACTTCCCTCCTCCGCCGACGCCAAATTATAACCAAGCATGTAAAATAACGCACGTAACAGAAAAAAAAACTAAACTAGTTTCTAAAAAGTGCAGAATTTGTTTGTTTCTAGCTAGTCTGAAGCGCGACATTTCAACGATGTCCACTCTTGAGCTCGGTTTCTCCACATGTGATTTTCAAGGAAGTCCCGCTTCAAAGTGCGTTTCTGTGACACAAAGTATCTAGAGATGCAAATACTGTTACACTCCACTGAATGGAGAACCCTCGAAACGTCAGCCTCACTAAGGCACGACGGCGGTCAGAGTTGAGAAATTACAATCGCTAAGTTTTTAAGGAGGAAATGTTAGAAAACCCACTTTGAAGGTCATCTGGTGCGATCAAATGATAATTGAAGCCTCTTTTGATGAGGATTCCTGATAAAGGTTTCCCATG